TTCACTCTTCCCCCAGTGGGGAGGAGGGAAGAAGGTAAGGGGGTTTGCACCCACCCTATACGGAGCTAAGTTATCGATCACTCACATGAAAAGGCCCAAAGAGGAAATAGCGGGGGGGCTCGGGGGGGCGGCCCCCCCCGGTTTTTATAGGTAAAAAAGGGGTCGCGGTCCGACTCGGATCGAAACTATGTATACCTGCAATACATATGTACCAAGTTATCGATCAACGTACTCATATGCAACCTATGCTACCAAGACTCATTTTGGGCCGGAGTTGTTGACAAAAGGGCTTTGCTAGCCGCACAGCACTTTTCACAGGCTTGCCGCCGGATGACTGGAAGCAGACTCACTGATGAATATTTTCAGCTTGGCACTGTATGACCATGTCTTCTAGAGAAAACCCAGGCATTCGTTACATAATGGCCCGCTCTAACATAGATTTGATATCCCTGAACGGAGCAATCGCTCCTCTAAACGTTGAACAAGAATTTGGGGCGACTGCAAGGATCATGTTTTTGTGTGGTGATGCACAAAAGACAATGCAGGAAGACAAGAGCGTGGGCCATGCAGAAATCTTGGGATTGAAGGTGCTCAGATGTTGAGTATGAGGCAACGTTGTCCCAGCAATGAGCAGACAATGCGACAATAGAAATGGCAGCAACAATGCTTGATTAGAAGGATTCAAAGTCTGCTGCAAGCTGGTGAGACGTGCATGTCATCAGTCTGCTCGATCAAGGGTTTAGCACTTCCTGGAGATGTTCAGGTTTGAGAAACCTAAGGAATGCTGCAACCCTGCCGTTTACAGGAGCAACTGCAGAAGAAAGTGTTCAACTCGTTCCTAAGAAGGTAAGAAAGAAATAAAGCTTTCTGTACATATGTGGTCATCTCTGATCTGCACGACGTGACAGGCGCGTCGTAGCTAGTAAGCCCCGTGAAGTTAAGCTGTTGTTCCCAGGATATGCAAATTCTCTTCTGTTGAAGGATCCTTGGTCAAACCAAAATCAAGGTGCCCCTTAGCCTACAGAACTGGCATGCCTGTGTAAGAGTGGGCCTTCACAAACTGCAACATTTGAGTGTGCTAGCTTTCAATAGTCTAAAAGTATTCAAGTCAGAACCTGTGCAAGGACCAATGTTGCGGTCTTTACACGAAACTCCACCACCATGACCTGTTACAGTCTTCCCTATCTGACGCTTTTCAGAAGGTAGCATGTTTTTCAGTTCCAAGTTGTGGTCCTGCCAACAGCAACAGATCCGGTTGGTTCCTGGTCGTTTTCCCTTCGCCACTATCGTCCTGAAAGCCTCTCTAAACAAACAGAGGGAAATCATCAGACATGCCTACTTGGTGGCTGAACTACGCGCCTTTCCATTGAAGCTGAAGTTTGCATTTCGCACTTTGATCAAGAGCGACCGAAAGCCACATATGCAACCAATGATTCGTCTCTGTTGTCCATCAACGCCTGCTTTGCTCTGCATTCAGGTAGCTGTGGAAGAAAGTTCAGCACATGGAGGGGCCACATGCAGCTCCCACCATGCCTGTCCATCTGAAAAAGCTCAGCGCCTCAAGCTATGAGGGGGATCGGGAGCACGAAGCAGGCCCTGCTCGCAAGATCACAGTGAAGGTGCTCACGGAGGCGGCCAGGAATGCAGACCGACTGCGTCAAGAGATAGCAGGTTAGCAAACATAGACTTAGTGATTCACTGCTTCTCTTCGTTTACCTTATGGATCTTCTAGAGCCCATGAACCTCGTACATAGCGTGTTTTGGAGGACAGCAGCAGGGTCTTTGATTTGTGGAAGAAGAGACTTTCGTTCAGGAAGATGCAGGACCACGGGAGACAGATTCTGCTTCTGTCTACTTGATCCAGGAAAGAGTAGAAGCAGCAAAGCCACCCTATTCAGAAACCAGAAGCAATAGCATCAATGAAAGATACTGCGTGTGAGAAGAATGGCAAATCCTAATGAGAGAAAGGAACCTTGTATATCTACAGCAACCGAACGCAAACATGCTGCTCTGCCCTAGCGGTTGCCAATAAGGACGTCGCATGTAGAAAGCTGGTTGCAAAATGGAAAACGGTTTGGCTCCTTACATCAGGGAGCCCCATTGAGGGCCCGAATCCAAGAAAGCGGAGCAGCACATTGCGAGTTATGGACAGCTTTCTGTGCAGTATTCGAACGCAAAATTTCCTCAACTGGTTGATGGAACGGCAGGCAGACCTTTGCAATCAGCGGGAGAAAGCGTGAAGAGAATTGCTCGTTGTCGTAAGTGTCTCTCGGAAAGCTCTCTGAATAGTGAGCTTCATAAGGAGGGAGCTAAGTGTGGCATGTGATAGCCATAAAATTGGCGTTTCAAGCATCAAATCAGGTTCCGGCTAATCAAGTGGAGCTTCAAACGTTGCAACTTGACGAGAACGTTAATGTACAGATTCTCTGCCCCGCTCAGCTCCAAGATTGCAGTTGATATTGGACTCAATAAACCTTCCCCTCAGTCCTCCTTTAACACCATACTGTCTGCTCCCTGCAGCGATAAAGCTGAGCGTCGCAGCCGGTGTCGGCGGCCCCTCCGGCCCCCAGCAGCTCATGCGGTCGAGGAGCATGGAGAAGTCCAAGAGCATGGAAAAATCGCCATTACTAGTTACTCAAGCAGGGACCACGTCACTCGATCCAGACGCAACGGACAATGGCGAAGCTCGGAGGCGGTCATCTCTGGAAAGAAGCACTGCGTTCAAGATCGGGGGGGAAGAGAAAGGAACGGATGGACTTGGGGAGGACCGAAGACGGTCCTCTTTGGAAAGAAGCTCTGCTTTTAAGATGGGGGGAGGAGTCCAACCAACGGACGAGATCGGCGAGGCCCGAAGACGGTCTTCCCTGGAGAGAAGCGACGCGTTCAAAATTGGGGGAGAAAGGAAACGGACCGATTCTGCTGTCAGCCAACAGAGGAAGCAAGTCACAAGCGGGGAGACTCGTGCCAAGACACCGCTGAAAACGCAGCCGATTGTCGACGGAACGGTACCAGCAAACGTGGGAAAGAAAGCCGCGGCGGCTGGCAAGCGGTCTGGAGCAAAGGTGGGGCCCCTCCCGGTGGATTCCCCCGATTGGTTGGACAAGGAAATGATTACAGGGCCTCACGCCAAAGCGAAGCCTGTTAGCGATCCGTCCAAGTCGGGGGGGTCCTCAGAGCACGGAGACGTGCCCCCCGGGACGGTGCAACCGGCCAAGCCGCTCGACTTTTCTCTCACGGCGATGAGGAAGCACCTGAACAGCACGCAGGCGCACGGGCCCGGGGACATGTCCCGGTCGACGGAAGAGATGAAGAAGCAGATGTTGGAGAAACTGCGCGCCGTGAACAGCAGTTTCAAGGAGAACCAGGGGGCGAAGAAATCGAAGTTTGCGGCCAAGGCGCGCCCGGTGGAAGCCAACCGGGCGGCTGCTGGGGGAGCGGACACTGCGGCGGAGGTCGGGGAAGAGACCCGGGGGACGGATATTGTTGAGGGAAAGACGACGCAGTCTGGATTGGAAGGTGCGACCAGATTGCCCCGGACTGTGACGATGGGGAAAGGCACGGCCGTTGCGCAAAGAACGGCGTCGCCTCTGAAGCGGACAGTAAGTAGAGCGGCAAAAGAGGTCTCGGAGGGAGGAGGCGGGCAGCCGACGGGAGCGGAGTCCGCGCCAGAAACTCCGTTGGAGAAAGCGGAACGGTTGCGGAACGAGGCGGCAGAGGTGATAAGCAGGCGGGTATCGGAGCATAAGGTGGCGGTGGCGGACGGGCATACGGCGCCTGCAGAGGGGCATAAGGCGCCGGCGGAGGGGCATAAGGGGCCGGCGGCGGAGCATAAGGCGCCGGCGAGCGGGCAGGACGGCAGCGCTTCTACACGAGAGTTGTCGCCCAAACGGGGCCAGAGGTCGCCAAAACGGACGTCCGCAACGACAAAAACGTCCGCCGAAGCGCCAAACCGGACGGCTGTCGTGCAAGCGAGTACAGAGGGGCCAGATCGGACGGGGGATAAGCAAGCCTTCGCGGAGGCGCGTACGAAAGAGGTTCCGTCTGGGTTGCCGGCTCAGCGTTCGTCGCAGGCCGAGGGGGAACCAGGATCATTACCGAACGTTGTGACGGTCAGCGCGGAAAGACGTGAAAGCGTTACGGCGCGGCGGAGCAGCGACGGAAAAGGACCAGGCAGCAGGAGGCAGAGCGTGTCGAGCAGCGACAAGAAGCCGGAATTCATCGACCGGGCGAAGAAGACGGCGGTAAAGGAGGCGTTGGAGAAGAAGGCGGAGAATCTGCGCAAATTTCGGGAACAGAAAGAGGCACAGGTGAGAAGCGTGGCCTGACATTGTAGTTCATATCTGGTCCATTTTTCTTCTCTAGTGACTTCCTAGGTCTGCTGTCTTTTCAGGAAGACAGCGGACCGGCTCGAATTGAGGTTTAGCAACTCGAGACTGCATGTAGGTCGAGAATAAGGCTTATGTCGCAAGTAAATGACTGCGAGATCCTACGGTCTTGAACCTCGCACTTCTTGCAATCAGGTTCATTTTGTGAAGATAAAGATTTCGAAATGTGTTTCTTGAGACAAGAATGTGGGCACTGTTGGCTTGTAAAACCCGAAACTTACTGTCCAAGCTTTGCGCTCCACGACTGGAAAAGCTGAAAGTGATTGTTTTCCGGATTTGTGCTAATCGTCCGAGCAGCGAAGAGAAAGACTTTTTGCTACGTGAAGCTGGGACTTCAGAATCCCAAACCTATTCCTCCAAGTGCACAGTGCCTTACTGAGGGTAATACGATGGCATCACGAGTCGCCCAGCCTGGCCGCGTGACCTGATGTCAAGCCTAAATACGTAGCCGTCAGATCACCACGCTTTTGCAAACCAATGGTCCCGATTCTGCATTCTTGTTTCAAATCTTGATTGGAGTCCGGCAACCAGGTTCGACAGATTCTACGGTAGGCAAAATGATACTGGTGGTTCTCGTATCAACTTTATCACCGTCTCAGCCGTCGCAAGAAGAAGCGTCCTTGCAAAGAGAAATTCTGGACATTGTTACGCTGAATTCTTCGAGTCGTGTAGGTGCGGATACTGCTACCTATTCTAGGAGGTCTAGATTGATCCGCCCTCAAATGCAAAAGCTGACGCTCTTATCTTGGCCTCAAAACAGGCGGCGATGCTCCAGAAACAGAAGGAAGACCACGAGCGTAAGCACCTCGAAAAGCTGGGCCAGCTTCCGCCCGCAGCCGTTCCGCCAACGGAGTCCGCTCACGTTCCCGAGCAGAACCCAGCGAACCCAGCGAAGACGTCTCAACCAACCCCAAACAAAGAACCCACGCAGCGCCAGCTGTCGCCGTTGAAAGCACGGGCAGCACCGAATCCAACGTCAAAGAAACGCGCAACGAGTGTCGCAGCCGTGTCTGAATCCGCCGGAGCGGAATCCGCAGCGGAATCCTCAGCGATATCAAGGGCCGCAGAAGGGCCACCGGCAAGCGTATCTGACGCTCCGCTGAAGTCAACGGCGCTCCGCACGACGTTCTCGCTGAAGAAGGGGGCCGTGGCAAAGACTGGGGGGGCGCATGAGGGAGCCACGCGTCAGGATCCAGAAGGTGTCACGTCAGCGAGGGATCCGTCCAAAGCGGTCAAACCTACCCTTACACTGGGGCCGGGTTGGGAGACGGCGCAGAAGCACGCGGGGAAAGTGGAGGAACCCCCGGAGGAGAAAGCGGCGATCGGGGCGCCAGATTTGGAAGGTGCCACGTCAGCAGGGGATCTATTCAAAAATTCAAAATCCGCCCTCAAATTGGGGCCGGGCTGGGAGACGGCGCAGAAGCGGGCGGGGAAAATAGAGGAGCCCCCGGAGGAGAAAGCGGCGGTCGGGGCGCCGATTTTGGAGCTCTCGGAAGCGGTCGGGGCGTCGAGTCCCGGGCACTCTGATGCGGCCGGGAGGCTCTTCGTGCAAGCAAGCCCGAAGGATCCGCCCGGGAAGGCGGAATCCGGCCCGGAACCGGAACGAGAGGACTCTCAGTCAAGTACTGCTGCGGCCGAGAAGGAGTTCCCGACAAAGAGAGACGGAGCACCGAGAGAAAATGGTGATGGCGAGGTTAAGGACCCGGTTATCAAGCAACTCCACGATAACCCCGCCTTCTCGCCCGCCAACAGCCCCATGGCGAAAGCAAGCAAAGCGGCGCCCTCCCTTAAACCAGATGTCAGTCCGGAACCCGCACCGGTTAACGCAAACCCGATCCCGGAGAGTTCAGAGATGGACCCCGGTTGGCCCCTCCGACCACACTGGACCCCCGCTTCAGCACCCGGTACTAACCCTCCAGGGTTGACTGAGTTAACCGGAAAACTGAGGCACGCTTCAACCGAGGAGATCTTTGTTTCGGCCGGGCATGCCGTCGCTGCTGCGGAAAAGAAGCTGAACGAGAGCCCGGTTGTCGGATCCCCAACCGCTCCTTCAGACGAGAAGGAGCCGGTAGTTGTTGAGCCGGTTGCAGTACCCACCGGCCCGGCTCGCGTTCCGTCGGTCAACGTCCACAAAGGGAAAGCAAAGACTTCGTCGAAGTCTTCGGACGGCGACCCACCAGCTGCGGACGCGCACATGACCGTCGCCAAGGCTGAACGCGTTGACTCCAGACCGGCAGGTACAAGGGACGGGCCGGAACGTTCCGCCGGAACAGATGGAAAGAAACCGGCGGCCGGGAAACAGATCTCCTTCTCAAAGTCCGTGAGCAGGGGCCTCTCCACCAAAACCCCCCCTATTTCCCAGGCGCCCGTTGCCCCCCAGGAAGGAGAAACGGCGAAACCCTTAAAACCTGAAATGGTGCCCAGTGCCGCGGCCGCCAGGACCGAGCCGACAATCGAGAAAACCGCTTCCGGTCTGAAGCCGCTCAAGATCCCCAACAACCGGAAGAGCGTGACCGGAACGCTTCCCGGCAGCCCAGGCGCCCCGGCGCCGAGCGCCCCTGTTCTGGTGGTCCCGGTCGACGGAACCGAGCGGCGGAAGAGCGGCGAGAAGCGGACGGAAGAGCCGGAAACGAAGAATCTGGCGGAAAGCCAGCGGAAGATGCAAGAGGAGCTGGACCTGATCGCGGCGGGGCTGGCTTACGTCAAAGTGAACAGATACGGCAGCTCGGCGCCCCCGGAAGGTGAGCCAGATTGACGGCGAGCTTTTTTCGTCATAAGGCGTGCGGGAAAGCACAATGTTCAATCTGCTGTTTCTTCCTTCTAGAGTACCATTGGTTGCTTCTTTGAGAGATTGTAGGATCTGCCAACCTTTTCCTGCGACGATCGGGCTTATCATCCGTCTTTTCTTGGTGATAATGGTCCTGCGCAAGTGCATCTGTCAAAACTTTGGGTACACGAGGGAGTCAACATGATTTAGTTCTATCCTTCACGGCCGAAACTGCAATCACTCATTCTCGAAAAAAAGAGTTATGTACCTCGCTCTCATCGAGTGAAGAAGTACTTCCACTATCGTCCTGAACGTCGAACTCTATACTTCCTATTCTCTTACGAGAGCAAAGGCCAGCGCGTGTACTGCCCGTTCATTCGATAACGCTGCAACAAAATCGCACGGAAAAGGCTTGGCATAATCGTGGCAGTCGAAAAATCCACCTCAAGTCTGATCGCATTCTGCGGAACGCCAAAGAGAGTATGCGAGTTCTGAAAAGATGCAACAAGGTGCTTCTCGTTCCCAGTTCTGCCATCGCCTGACGCTATTGTGCAGCCCCCGCGACCTCGGTACCGGCTCCTGAGCCCAAGAAGAGCCCGGCGAAGGGCGTGGACCATCGGACGGCGCCCGTTGTGGAGCAGGCCCAGATCGACGGCCAGACGGTCGCCGGTGAGGCTTGGAAAAAACTGCAATTTCTCGAAAAGTGGCGATCTTTGAAACTGAAATGCTTCTCCGCATCAAGACACCAACGCCGCAGAGCTCCAAAACGCGCGCGTGGCCGCAAATTGGACCAGGAGCCCCCCTCCATTCGGCGCCGCTGGACAAGTGCCCTCGACGCGAGCGCGCGGGTCTCGCGCGCTTTCCTGACGGGCTCCCGTGGCCGTTCGACTACGCCCTGTTCTCTCGACGGCTTGTCTCGAATTGAATCGGGCGAAAGCTTCAAGCACGCTCATGATCACGACCTGGGAAGTTTCGTTGCCGCCGCTCCTCCGGCAAGTAGGGCGATGTTAGAGCACCTCGGACTGCGCCGCGTCATGGCGCCGGTTCGTGTCGCTTGCGCGGCCGCCCGCAAAACCCTGCGCTTTCGCTTAATTTATTTACCGTGCTACTCCATAACTCGCGGCCGCGTTCAATCGAGCGGCAATAGCAACCCGGCCGCGGAATGTGCGCTGCGCGATCCGCAGAGGCGCTCATGCGGCTATATGCTAAACTTTCTTGACTTGTTTTGCAGTACGCCCCTGCAAGCGAGCACCGCGCGAGCCGCTAAAGGCGCTCATGCCGCTAGCGTGTGCTAACCCGAGCTTGCTTCCTCTGTCATGCAGTTCGCCGCCGCTCGAGCGCCGCGGAGCTGGAGCGCGAGCGCGCGCTGCGCGAGCGGCTGGAGGCGCTCAGCCAAGGGACACCGCTGAGGAAGCTGAATCGGCGGAGCAAGGGGGACAAAGTCCGGACATATTGGGTGGAGAAGGACGGTCCGAACAAGGTGGGACTGTAAACACAATTACGATGTTCCCAGGTTTTGGTCTGAGAGAAGTCCGATCGGAAAGGTCTGTGCGTTTTGCAACCGGCGCGCACTAGCACTCCGGGTTCGCAGCATCCAATAGAATTGGTCTACTCGGTAAGTTTGTAAGTGGGCAAGTTGCCAGGTGATTTTCGTGTACAACCGCCTTGGGCCTCTGGACTTCGTAACGAAGGCAACGCAGAAGTTGAAGAAGTGCGGCTGTCCACATAAATACCTTGACCTATAACCGCACCACTTCTCTTCAAAGCAGCGTTTTAAGGCATCAAGGGACTTCGAAGAAGAAAGGCATAGGAGATTGACACAACGACTGTCTCTAGAAGGCAGCGCAATAATCGAGAGGTTCATTGGAAAGCTGTTCAGTTGATAAAGGGTTTGGATCTTTGACACTTCGCTGACCTGCAGGTTCTCCTTTGCTGGAAGTCGGGCGTTCTTGTGAAGACGGTCAAGTCCGTGGAGCTCGCGGCCGCGCCCACGGTCGTAACGCCCGCGAGCGGCGGGCCGGTGCTGATAAGCCTCCAAACCTCGAGCGGCCGCGATCTGACTTTGGAGGCGCCTATCGACAGGGACCAGTTCAAGCTTTGGACAGAGGGGCTCGGAGGCATAGTGGAAGACTCGTCCACTAAAAGTTAGTTCATAGACCTGATGCGCACGCCTGTCCTTGATGGCCGTTTTGCTCATCTAAGCAGCTGCATGCGACTCGTCAACGGATAGCCTTGTTTGTTCTATAGTATATTGCATGTTACAAGATTGCTTTCAAACATTACAATAGATACCGGAAGCCTCTTGACCCAACCTGTGAGTATGATTATTTAGCCTAGAGTATAGGGGGACACAATCATGTTATACTTATGATAGCATGCCAGCACCTGAGGTTATCGGTTTCAGTTCAGGCGCGAGCACCATATGTCTTGAGGTTTTAGGGGGCGTATCGTTTCATGGTGGTATTCGCTCATGTGAATCATAGAAAAACGGTGCCCTGAGTTGCTGAACGACTGGGGAAGTTGCGCTTGCAAGGTATACGTAGCTTCTCAAGTAAGTCTGCTTTTCTTTCGCCACCTTGTCTTTTCACACAAACCTTTGGTAGGAAGCTTAGATGAACCATGCAGATTAGTTAGGCCACCGCAATGATTGATTCACAATTGGCGCGGCGTCCTTCCGACGAGGTGTGTCAAATAGGTCGTCTGGTAAAACGAACCTAATAAGAGTCAAATCGATTGAAGCGTTTGCGTGCGGCAATTTTGTTGATCACTACCCAAGGCAGGGATGGACAGCAAAGTCGATAGTGCATGGTAGACAGCAAGAACTTGACCGTGATGACAGGATTCGTCATGCAAGCAATAATGGGTTTACAATCATTGAATGAGGGCCGCGAATTGCAATGCATGCGCTGATATAGCAATCTGGCAGAGCGCGAGAGATGGAATACGTGTTAAGTTCTTGTGCCTGCATGTTCGGAGTTCTAAAGGAACTGCAATAAGGACGTTCCCCGATTGACAGAGCGCATGATCAACGTACGTGACGTCACTACAACACCGCACACGCCGGCTCTACGCTCTCATGTGGAAGTCATGATTCGAGGCACGTCACGGTGGACCCGCGCCACAGGAAAACGTTAAAAGAGGCTTACAGAAGGTTCAACGGTTAGCTACAACATAATTGGAAGAGCTCGGTAGGCCATTTTCAGCGCGCCAAACTGTGTCCGACCGATGACTCTCTTGATACATCTCTTAGTCGGCTCAGAATTACTAGGATGCAAGGTGGGCCATTTGTAAAACAAACACATTGCAGCGGAATTATTAACGACTCCAGCAATTTTCACTTAAATAGGTATAGCCGGGTTGCATGCCAGACTGAGACACGATCAGCACTGAGGCACGGGCGGAAGCGATTGACTTAAAGCCTCAAGTTGAGGCTTGTCAACGTACGTCGCCGACTGACAAATGCACTACATGAGAAAGACGGTTTGCGCATATAGGCGGCCGACGGTATACCTAGAGACGGTCACATCATTACACATCTATCTGGGCTTGTTCCGAAAATTACTGTGGCATCAGGGAAGTTCAGGATGCAGACAATCATTCGCTACTTCGTGGCTGACGGTGCGAGGCAATGAATGAGTCCAACTCCTTGCAAAATGCATGATTGGTTGGACGCGGTACAAAATCTCTGAAATATGATTTGTGACAATTTGAATTAGAGATGTTGGTCCGAACTAGAATGAAAGGTGCTTAAGCTAATGCTAAATGTACGAAGGTCCAAAATCCATTAGCAACATGTACGCTTATTGTTCAGCAAGACTCTGTCCTTTGACAAGGAAGACAAAACAAGTGTCCTTGCTTATCGGGGTCAATTTTGTGAAAACTACTGTCAGTGTTAGTTTCTGTTTCTAGAATGACGTTTAAGTATCGTATATAGTCTTACAGATTGCAAGCCTCCACTGAACTAAGAAACAAAGGCCCGCAGGCATTCCTCCGGCGGGAGGTTTTCATCAAGGTTTTCATCAACAAGACTCAGGCTGTACCCTACCGTCTATACATGGCTTTCCAAACGCGTGAACAAGGCAGTCCTAACCTTCAACCACCACAGCAAACTTACCGCCCTCTTCTGTGGACGGATCGATCAAAGCCTCGTTTCTCTTACAGACTCGACCTACCCGCTAATGACAGCTATCATTTGGCCTCGGGTTCTGGCGCCAGACCTTTACAAGGTGAACGCGAGCTAAGAACCTGGGAACCCCGGTTTAGGAGTAGTCCCATGACTGAATCGAAGGGCCGTTGAAACTTAGGTTGAGCAAGGCCCTTCACTTGCGTTCAATGTGCTCCTGCATGGAAAATTTTGGCCCGGTCAGGATCGTTCTCAAGGGAGTCAAAGAAGGCGCTGAAGTTGCAGCAATCCGACTCCGAAACTGGCAACGAATATTGAAATCTTGTCATCAACGATCTCAGACCTGTTGGAACGATCTCAGATTGTTCTACGAGTATTCAACGACCAGGACTGCAGAAAAAGCGCTCGATTCAGCCTGCAAAAAAGGCCAGGATGTTCCGTATTAGATTGAGTCTACAGATCACTCACCGCGAACGTGCTGAGCTTTTCCGAGACGTCCGCAAAACCGTTCGACACCATGTACCTCGTCTGGAAACCAGGTTTGTGCCTCATAGGGGGGAGCCTGGAGAGACAAGTGCACATCCTCAGTCGCAAACACAATGTCAAGAGTGAAGGTTCGACAGCATACGGTACAACGGTGTAAGATAACCATAAAGTAGCCAATCAGGTACTTCTGATTGCAAAAGAGCGAAGTCGCCGCTCGACAGCGCCTATCTATGAGCAGGAGAAGCTCGAGTTTATCTGGCTCCTATTGCGAACTCTCAACAACATTTAAGCACAGAGCTAGTTGCAGATGAGCGCTTACGTTATCCGGGGGTCTCCGAGGGCTCTAAACCGAGGCATGACTCCCTCGTGGCCGTCTCTCATGTAGGCAAGCTCGCCGAAGCTGGAGAGGAGGCCGGCTCCAAACGCCTTCATCTGGTTGTCTTCCTCGATAACGCCAAACTCACAAGTGTACCTGGAATTAGTCAGAGATGTCTCAGAATGAGCAGACTGAAAGGTAAAGGGGCGAGCAGCAAGAAACAAAATCGAGGCAATTTACAGCAGATCAAACCAAGGAAACAGAGGTATATCTTGCTGGTAATGAGGATATTCAGAATAGATATGTCTAGCACAGCGAAAACTGAAGAAACTCCAACTGGACATTCTGTACCCGACTCTTTGCTGCTTTCGAAGAATCTTCTCACGATGTCAACATTGTATACTTGGCAGGAAGAGCGCCCTGCAATCGTGGCAAAGCGGCCTGAAAAAGGCTAACCATAGTTATCGAAAGAAAGAAAGTCTGATTCCTCACCAGAAGAGCCTTGTCAGCTGTACAAACTCTTCGTTCGTAGCACCCAGGGAGGCTTGGCCGATGGCCTGTACCATGTCCGAAAATTCGGGGTCCAAAAACATGGGTGCGTGTCCAATCAACCTGCAAAAGAGAGGAGCAACAGAGGGGAGTCAGAAGGGTGATCTTTGGCAGTCGTGTGGATTGCAAATTGTTGGGTTGATGACCAAACCGTGGTTCCTAAGTGAAGTACGCTGCTCGATGAGCATCCTCTCTGGAAGCAAAGAGCATCTGAAATGTAGCGAGCACCTATGAACGGGGCCAATCAATCAACTTATAATTGCGTCAAAAACGTTAAGCACTTACTAATTTACAGCTCCATATTCTCGAAGCTCCATGGAGAACAACTATTTCTTATCAGAGTTCTGTGTTCCGAGAGCTCCATCTTCCTCAAACCGACGATCATCAGGAGCTCTGTATTCCGAGACCTTCATGTTCGTCAGACAGTGTCAGAAATGTAGGCAAAAGGTGAGCCCTTATGCTTAGGGTCAAAGAAATGACTCACTCGTGACACAGGTCGGGTTCCGGAGAGTACATTGGCTGTGAGTGGTGGCGAACGTATTGGGTGCAGTGGAAGATCTTGAAGGCCATGGAGCCGATGAAGTCACGGGGATCCATAAGGCCTGCCACAGGGCGGATCCTCCAGCCTGTCTGCTGGTACATGACTGCACTCACGTCTTCCAGCTGAGGGATAGCGTTGGGCCTGCACGCAACAGCACAAGGTGATCAGATGCAAGACAAGCATTGATTTTGCAAGGCGAGGCAGCCAAGTCTTGATGCTTGCTCTCCACGAGCCTGACAGCAGATCAATGACATCTAAAGGCATCACACAAGGCTCGACAAGGACGGCAGGGAGGAGTCTGAGTTGGCATCTGCCATACCTGAAATCGAGCTTCTTCACAGCAGCGTTGTATTTGGAGGAAGCATGGGTGGGGTGCAACTCGCGAAGCTTGTTCAAGACCGTGGTCCAAACGTAGGTCTCTTCAGGGGAGTAGTCAATTCGGGGGATGGGTCGACCACTGCAACAAAGTAGCGAAGGCATTCTTCGATTGGTTCATATGATGGGACGAAGCTGCCATGGCTTTTGAAACAACGGACTCACGGGGATGACATAGTAACGGATGGTCGACAGGGCAGCATGAAAGGACAAGATCGGCAGCAAGAATGCCAAGAACGAGAAAAAGTGAGGGCTTCCATTCACAGCCGAAAGGAAAAAGTAACTGAATCTGGCTTCAGAGAACGACTGCAAGGCAAGTGCAAATGCAGACGCTATTACTGTGGCACCAGCATCACAAAGTGATCGTATGTGAGACTGCGGGCGGAAGAGGAGTCGGATGCCGAGCTGGCTCGCTTACAACTTGTGGTTGCGCGCAATGGTTGCAAGCTCCCGCCGTCGACGAACGTACTTTTCATCATTGAAGCCCTGTGCGAATCAACCAAAAAAATAATTAGTTCGAAGATCTAAGTTCGATCGGATTTCTAGATTCTTCCTCAATCTCGGAAGTTGATCACAGCCAGTCGAGGTCCCATGAACCCTCATAATGTCAGGATGACGACAAGGGACCTAAGCAGAATACAGAGGACAGTTGATTACAAATTACAGTTGATTACAGTCGAAGGGGATCCTCATCGGAGGATGCACGATGCAGAAACTTTGCTTTACGATATGATTCGTACATACGAAGATTTTGCGAAAGTCGAGGCTTCCTGATGCATTTTAAAGGGGAGATGCAAGAGGGGATGGCGATGAGATCTGGCTTGCAAGAGGACTGGAAGGATCGAGACTCACAGGATGGTCGGATGGGAGGTTCTGGTCGTCCACCAAGAGGTTGTCGAACCTGTTGATAAAGTCGTGGAGGGTGGGAAGGCTGCGGCGTTGTGGAAGAAGAGTGTCTTCCAGGTAAGAGAAGCAGGGGGAGGTAGTGCTGGCCTGCTCTAGTTGTTGGGACGCCGGTCGTTCCAAGACAGGGGCTGCAAGAGAAGGAAAACATTCGCTCCTGAGCTGACATGTTGCAACGAAAACAAGGAGTCCTAGATTGCAACAGCGTTACAGAAACAGCTGTCTGCCAACAGGTCCCTGGTGATGCAGACCTCGGGGAGCTGTGTCCCTGGTGAAGGTGTGGGAACCACCAACAACATCACTCTGAAACCTGCTGTATGAAGACCTCCTGATGATTACATTCCTTCCTGCCAAGATCTCGTTCCTCTCCTCCTTCAAATCGACCTCTGAATCTGACAAGGGGAAGCAATGCGACTTTCCTCAAATGTTTCCAGTACAGTCTGCTAGAGAGCTTCAAATCGACTAAGCAGAGTTCAAGCTAGACTTGAAGTTGTTGCTAATTTAGCATAACAAGTGCTGGATGTGACTTGTGGAGTTGTCAACTTACAGGCTGTTGCAGAGGTTGCGACAGGCCCAATGGATTGGGAGGAGGCATCCGCCAGGCCAGAGAGGGAGGGCAGCTTGGGGCTGAGGTCAGAATGACTGGGCCCCACTGCCTGCAAGCAATATCGAGATGGTGTCAAAAGCTGGTTGATAGATGGGAATTTCTCTACCAGCAACCGAAATAACAGCCTAGCATGTTCTTCTGCAGCTAGTGGACCCTTCTTGGAAACATCATCCCGGATCTCACAGTACCTTGAGGTGAGTCCTAGTCACTGAAACTGGAGTTGTAGTTTCTGGCGCGCATGGCTGATTGATGTCCACTAGAACCAAACTTGGAATTCTTTCATGATTGGGGGCTTTTAGACCCAACAAAGTGACCATTTTCCAGACCTCGCATCATGACACATTCAACCATGCAAGAGCGCGCACCTCTGAATTCCAGACTGCAAGATCTGACTTTTCAACATCATTCTTTGGCTGATCAAGTTACAAGTCTGGTGGGGCTTCCCAAGGTGGGGGTGTCCGCTTGGCTCAAGTTTGTCAGCAGCGGGAGAGCTTCATTGGCGGACTGATTACAGGGATTGTGCTTCCCAACTGTCCAAAAGGTGATTGCTTACTTGGTGAGAACTGCCCTGACGGAGAAGCGCCTGTGCCACACGCGGTTTAACATGGCGAGCTGGAACAGTGGCAGGAGTTGGAAGCTTGTGGATGTCTCTAGATAGCCTGCAATTGAAAGAGATGTGCACTTAGCACAAGGACACTTTTCCACAGCTTCAATCAGAGGTGAGATCTGCTTCGCGCCCAGCCTTTCTTCAGACCCCAAGCTTTTCCACAGTCGCAAAGGAGGGAGCGACTGCGAGACTTCTACTGTTACCATGCTGCAGAAGAGTTGCCATACTAAGTTGTTAGCAGAGATGCTTCTAGCATGTTCAAGATCTTACATCTGGTTTGCTTGTTTTGGCTTACAAGAGGACTCACCTTTCCACATCAGAGCCCAGAACACTTGCCTTGCCGAGAAAAGGCTTTGGCAGAGCAACTGTCAAACCCCTTGAGGATGCCATGTCTCCCTGCAGCACCCGACTATAATTTCAGACTTCATGAACCAAAGGCAATGAGGTTCACTGGGAGACCAATTTACAAACATATGCCCATACCATGCAGATGTCGCCAACTTTCAGGGTATATTTCACGTGTGGGGGCCCTTAAGTCCATGTTACCAGATCTTCCTGATGACTTTTCCTCCTAAACTTCATGGCTAGAGGTGGTGCCTGGAGACAATGACAGATCTAGCTCTCGCCCTTCCCTTATGCCTGTGAGCGTTGACACCAGTCTGAGGACAATTCTGCTCATCATGTTGTCCTTGAATGAGCAACAAGGGCTCAGCATTGCATTCCTGACATGAAAACTTTCACAGATGTTGTAGAGTAGAACTCCCGCCTTCAAAATCTCGTTACAGTGCAATGCTGACTTCCAGGATCCCATGCAGTGTTTAGAAGGTGGCACGACCATAGATCTTGGCCCATATCGTATTTGGGCAGCCAAATTCTTATGCTAGCAGGACAGCATTGTCATTGCCTTTCACTCACCGGGTTAGATATCCACGGTCAGAATTGGCACCTTTGTAGCCGCAATCAGGAGGCCAGGATGCCCTGCAGATCCTCAAGCTTAGCTTGTTGCAGCCTTAGCTCTAATTGCCAGAATGTGGTCAGCTTCGTTGTTGTCGTGATGACTGAAGGTGGCTAGCTAGCGGGTTGCGCTTGAGGATCGGGCGCGCTGCTAGCTGTTTCTCTCTGGGGGCTGAATGTCTCAGGAGGTTGACGCTGTAGGTCGGGCCTTGCCGAGCTGGGCAAACTCAGGGGCCCGAAGGGAATGCCGGCAATTTCTGCCTTATATAGGTATGCCTATCTTCAGCAGCCATGATCCCTCTGCAACACTGGAAAGAGCCTGACCTTCCGATCAAGCCTGATTCGTGAGTTGAAGGCTCATGTTGACCGCTGGAGATTCCATTATGTGATGAGTGGGCGGTAGAGTTTCCACTGCGTTCGTCTTGTAAGCAGCACGGCTGCCAGTAAAACTCCCCTCGTAATCTGCCACCATTATGATGGCAGTTTAATACGGTAGGTAATGCTAGCCATTTGTTTTTCTGGCCGTTTCGAGCGTCAGACATACTGACAGAATATAAGAGGGAGCTGCTATTTAAAAGCAAACTTAATGCCCGCAAAACCCGTTACGAAGGGGTGATCCTAAGTACCGTAGTACTACGATCTTCTGCGAGGCAGTCCCTTGCTTCATAGTACCCCCCCGTTAAATGCTCCACTGTCAGAGCCCCTATAGCTAGAGCCAAACCTGAAGAGAATCTAGGTAGCTAGCTTGCGTGAGCAGAACAAAATAGCTATAGGTATTCAAATGTGAGCAGGCGTACAGTGTGCAATACGTACGGTGCTCTGACAGTCTCCGGAGTGGGGCAAGAAGTACGGAAGGTTCGTGGATTCTGGAATCCAGACTCCGAGACTCAGAGCTAGCTACGGTAGAGCCAGATGGATTTTAGGCAACTAAGGGTCGGTCACTGTACCTACCGTACAAGGGTACGTAACACTGTAGGCACTACAGTTGGACAGTCTAGGTACCTAGCTGGGAACGCTTCTTCAGTTAGTATAAATTTCTTGTGTCTTAACTGTTGAGATTGGCGCCCGGGAAACGGTTTCGGTTAGGTCAGTGGTTACCGTTGTGGGAATTAGGGTACGAGGTAAGTTACTGTTTGGTTTAGGGTTCTGGTTAAAGGTGCCCCGGTAACTCAAGCCTCAGGTCAGAAGTCCGTTAGGTCACATGATATTTACCTACCGCAATTGCCGGTAGGTTCACTCCAGTACCAGTCTGTTCCGACTGTACGTGTTGACTGTGTTCCTGCTGATTATGACCTTCGAGCAGTTGCAATTAATGCAGGAGACTGGTCGAGCACTGTCTCATAAGCTATTCAATGACGTCGATGAGAACGGGCACCTGACGTCAGTCCAATTCAGGCCGACTTAGAACAGCAGACGGTAACGGTCGGACGGGGCCGGCCCCCCTGGGGCCTGAGCTGAGCCTGTCCGACATGACTTTTCCTACGCATGTGGGTCGGGAGTCGGTCGGAAGTCGTGGTCCATGGAGCAGGAAGCGGACGGTGGGCCGTGGCCGGAGATCAGTGCCCCGGGACTCCGGGAGGGCGGGTGTGGAGAATAGCGTATAGAACTCGATCTCAGGTTCCAAATCTCGGGACATTCTGGATCTCAAGAAAAAAAACGTAGGGGGTCCGGTTCTGTCCAGGATTGAACCCCCCTTGAAGTTTCTACGTGTTTCACACGATCATTGAGTCGCCCGGTGACATTCATTCAGACGAGCGAGGCCGTTCGATGCGATTCTGAGGGCTGAGAGTCTTTGTTCGCGCCCGGTGGGACAGGTGTCGTCGGTGCCGAAATCGGGGACGTTTCCTGAGATTCAGAATTCATACGCTATATTCCACACCCGCCGCCCCCGGTGCACTGCGCGGTTTACAACAGGGCCCGGGCAGCAGCCGGAAGCCTGCGCCCGCTTGCAGCTAGCTAGTACCGGTAGGTTGAAAGTTCCCCGGGAAGTTTGTGAGCGTCGGGCCGGCCGCACCAATCAGAAGTTCCCAAGGCCTGGTCATCGACGACGCCTGTAACTTCTAAAACTTCTCCGTTGACTCATCGGATGGCTGAGAGAACTTCTCCGAACTTCTCATGAAACATCTCCGCATTTGTCGCTGATCATCGGACGGAGCAAGTAACTTTGGCCAGGACCCGCGAACATTGCGCCAGCATGGCACATCTGGCGATAGAGGAAACTTCAATCTTTGATCGAACGACTCAATTTGAAAGATGATTCAAGAAACAAGATACTGAGCCTGATCAGCATTTGAAAGGTTGGACAGGGTCAAACTTTCAAAGGGGAAGCAGCATTGGCTAGCAGGGAGCAAAGATAACAGCCAAGAATGGCATTGTCCACATTGTCACCTCGCGGTAGAGCAATGGCTGACGCATCAGGCGCTGCAGCTGCGGAAGTAGCTGAGGTCTCTTACACCGGCACTGCCTTGGAGCCAGTCATTCAAGCAATCAAGCAAAAGATTGGAGGCAAGGAGTCCTGTGAGACTTACATCTTCGAAGCTCCCAACCCCACCATCTCCCCAAAAGAGAAGTCAGGTCCTTCCTCCTCTCGTTTCAATCCACCCTCAGTGGACCTTTTCAAAGCATGGGGCTGTACCATAATTGTCCTTTCTTGGCAAACCTTCTTCAAGGATCATGTTCCTGAAAAATTCAAATGTGTCAAGGGTTGCGGCAAGTTTACAGTGGTACGGAACGGCTGGTACGCTAAGTTGGTGAGCCTGGTGTTGGGGCTTCATCGACCGCTCTTCATTCTCTCCCAGGACTACCGCTGCAAGGACTGCCACGCAAAACTTGATGGGAAGGGGGGGTTTGGTAGCACGCTTTACCTAGCTCACAAGGAAGAGATTCGAGCTCAGCTGCGTCCTTTCATCCTGCACCAACTGCCCATTGGCTTCTCAGAGACATGTGTGCCCGTCGAGCGCAGCTTGCTGGACTTGTTAGAGATCTTGGCGCCTGAAGCGATTGGCTTCCCTCGCATTGCACGGCTTGTGAAAGAGCTGCACACGCTGGCTGAGAAACGCAGGGAGCTCGTGTACTATGACTACCAACTAGAGTTGAAAGCAAAGCGGGCAGAGGACGAGGTCAAGCGGCAGAAAGGCATTGGGAAGTTCTTCCAAGCTAGTGTTCAACAAGCTGGGAGTGGGGCTGCCGAGCAGCCAGTGCAAGCTTGGGCAATGGGGAAGCGTGTCCCTGACTGGGTTGCTGGATCAGCACTCTTGTCATCCCTGTTCTTGCAGCAAGCTGCCGCAAAGATGCCCGAGTATAGCAGGCAGATGGCACTCGTGAGAGGGGAGTGTGTGGGGATGGACCATTTTCACAAGCTCATGCGCAGAATCAGGTGAACAACAGAACACCATCTGTATCAATTGATATCATAGTGTAGGAAACAGCTGGCCAATCTGCTATGTTTAAGCCTTCTGTGCTTTAGTGACCAGATAATGCACTCTCCTCTGTTGCTGTTGCAAGCCTCTGAGGTTTGGCAGGCAGCCGGTCTCAGGCTGCAACTTGATACTGTCTTTTGTTGGTTCTCGCTGGTGTTACTCCCGTTTTGACTGCGTTTGTTTGTGTCTCACAGGGGTATGGAGGGCCAGCGTGTTCTTGATGCCACTCTCACCATGATGACGGAGACCGGGGAGGTGGCGACTAGTCTTTGGACGCACAACGCCTCGCTCGAAGTTGTCAGAGACAACCTTCATCAAATCCATGAGCGCATGGTGCTGCTGGGCCGCGCGGTAAGTCCTTACGACTGCCTCACTTCCATCAATGCAATGTTCCCCTGACCTTGATCAGAAGCCAATTCTTAACATACTCTTCTCCAGCGGCAAAGTCTGATCATGCAAAAGTTGCTGCTCAGGACTCTTGTTTTCAAATCTTGCATCCCAAGACCTGAGGAACTTGCACAGATGGGCGTGTTCTGCTATTACCCGCTCATTTTGCAGAAGTCAGCACTGAGCATTTTCACTTCTTTCTTGCAGCCCCGACTGCTGTTCTGTGACTGGCCTGAGGTCATGGGCCCCTTCTTCAAGGACCTGTGGCCGTGTCTGGAGGTCTACCTTATGGACATTCTTCACGCGATCATGCGCGTGACAAAGCACATCCCCGATGACCATCCTTTTCGAGGTGACATGATTTACCTTATTTGGATCTGATCCATTCCATGGCACCTCCTTTGTATTCTTCAAGCCAGCAGATGAAACATTGACTGGTCACAGGTCACTGTGTCTGATAGCGAAGGGCTTCGATTGGTGCAGGAAGGAAAGATCCGATGATTGGTTGGTGTTCTCCAACGGTGGGTTAGTGTTAAACCGAAAAATGTGTCAAATGCTTCCAAGTCTGCCTTGGTGAGAGCCTGCCGAACGTAGCTTGAACTGCTGCAAAGTGTTGATTGGCCTCTTCTTCCTGGCCAGGTTGGTTCCAGGGGAAACTGAGTGAGGCTATCTTCATCAAGAATCAAGCCGATCTGGTTGACATCATCAAGGAGCTCGACATCAAGGGGAAGACACTTGCGGATAAGGCAGGAAAGAATGCGCTGAGAAGGTGCCGCAAGTCTGTGCCGCCCCCCGAGGTCCTGTTGGCTCGACTTCAGGTATGCACACTTCCTGAGGATCTAAATTGATGATCCTCTGTGGGTCTGTGGGTCACTTTTCTGAATCACCTCAGCTTATCTTCAGTAGATGCGGTTGGTGCACATAACGCTCAGGCCCGGAGCCTCAGAGATCAACCTTCTTTGCGCCGAAGAGCAGGTAACTTACGCTTGAAAAGGATTCATTTTGATAGTATGTTGCCATGCGGTTTGCAAGAGCTTGGAAAAGCGGCCTCTGTGAAAGCGAACCTG